AGTAAATGAAAATTAGTTACAGATTTTTGATTGTGACCCCCATAAACCCATTTCATCCCCTAATCACTGCTATTCTCGTGTGTCTTGAGACGAAATTATCAACGTTTGCAGCGGGCACCACGATTCCGAGCACATCTCAGTCACTGGGAATGTCCCTACGTTTCTTCATCTGGTTTCCCGCTATCGCCCTTCACACATTATGACCCATCAGCCTTCGGGTTGCTCAGGATGCGTTTTGAAAATTTTTATCCTTGGCACCGTTCACTTCTGCGCACGCCCGCCCACTGTGGGCCAGACCTAGATTACCTTGTATGTGCTCTGTAAATTTTGGCCCATGCCATCTCAAGCTTGATCCGTTCCCTTAAGGTGATTTTCCACGTAGTCCCCAATTTTTGAGCGGTGTTACAGGCAGACATACAGTCCTCATCATTGCGGACCGGTGGGGCGTGGCAGTGCGGCTGCATTTGGTGCGGTTTGGCAAAGTCGTTCTGCACCAGTTTTTGAAGCGAACAAGTGCATTACTGTATTATATCCTTCGTATTACTCGTTTTCTACCACTTTTTGTCGCATACGCGTTGCAACAAAAAGGCTGAGAACGGCTTCAACAGTGTGCGCACTCCTTCTGGCTGACACGCCCCACCGGTCCGCAATGATGAGGACTGTACACACAGGCACACATACAACTCCTGGTATATATAAAAAGATTCACTCATGAGTAGTATGTTTTCCTCTTCGCTGTGGATAGAAGCCAAATGCGCGCCTTTTGAAGAGCAATGCGCTTCTGCTTCTTCAAAGGTAGCTCTTATTCGATAAACCTGAAAACCTGTAGGAATGCTTCACAAATTGACGACCTGTAGAACAGTTTGCGTGCCAGTTTCGCGAACTGTTCTACAGGTCATTTGCATTTGAACAATCAAATTTTGCTTGAATGCAATCACGTAATTGCCTGCTGGCGTCACATCATTCACCCTCCCGGTAAAAGTGCTGAGATGTCCAGGATACAGTATCCTCAGGCGGTCGTGGGAAACCATAAGGGGTCGTATTTGCGGGAGATGATCGTTTTTCCCGCTCACTGTTTTTTTTCCTTTTCACGAGTTTCACCCTCTCCCACACTTTTACTTGGCTGCGTGACGAACCTTGTATCCTTTTTCTAGGGTGTGCAGCAGAAAAAAAGAATAAATGGCCTAATTAAGGACAGCGTCCGCGATCAACCAATGTGAAAAAAACCCTGTACTGTACAAGATCGCAGAGGATATCCCACTTCAACTCGAAATCGATTGATAGACGAAGGCGGAGTCAACAATGATAAGCTGACTCCGCCTGTCGTGTTAATCCCGCCTCGATTGGTTTTCCGTTATCAATCCTCGCTGGTGATCCATTGATGACCGCTAAATTTCTAGTGTTTTTTCGTACACTGATAGAGAATTGGCTTATAGATTAGATTAGATTAGATTAGACAGACTAACTTCTTCACAACCTGGGTAGTGGCCCCATGAGAATTAGCCGCCAACAAGGCGGCGATGGGTTTCGGAGAACTCGTCCAACATCTGCGAAACTCGTCCAAATGCGCCGATCGAACACTGTCCTTTCGGCGCTTTTTGTTTACTTTTTTGATTAATGCTTTACTTGCCACATGTTCTAACAATTCTGAGCCCTACAACCTGCCAAAGTCGATCGCGGGCGCTGTCTTTAAAGGCAGTTGGCACGATGGTTTCCCACTCGGCCTAAAATGCTAGTAGGGCGCTATGTAGTGGGGAAATGGCGAAAGAACGGAGTGAAACGGTCAAAATCCGGCGAAGAAAAAGCCTCCGTTCTCAGTGACTTGAAAATCGATTTCGGACGAGTTTCCCGTACGGCATCTTGCCAATCACCGCTACCGAAGATACGGCTGCATATGTGTACCCATGTATGCATGCAGCATCACGGCCGCTCATACCAATCCCTTCGCTTCATAATTTGCTTAGCAAATGAATCGATTAGAGCTTCAGGAACCTTCCAATCCTTTATCTATTCAGAGGCTTGTTGGGACAACTTACTTCGGGGCGGTTTCAGGGGGGGGGGAGGGGCGGAAGAGCCCGCTGTCGGCTTTTCTATCCTACCTGTAGTGATCGGCTAGTAATCGATGTAGGAGGGAAACAAGAAGATCACTCCAAGCCGACAGATTGCGAAGATATCGACGTAGCAGTGAGTGCGCTACGCGTGGATTTTGCAAGCGCTGAGTCACTGCTCTAGGGAGGAGAGGTTTATGCCTCAATTTATTATAACTCAATGAATAAATAAATAAAATAAATGAACTCCGGCAGATG